CTTATGAAGCCCCTGACCTTGGTTGAATTAAATCTTTTTTCCCTACGCTAAGTTTGTTAGTTTATGGTAATATGTTATAAACAACAGACGAATAAGACGTTATACCATAATAATATTATGATGGACTACCATTAGACATTTAAGGCTTCCTTGAGTAAAGTAAACTCACTTACTTACCTCAATGAACCACACGATCACAGGCAAGAGGATAGATGTATGGGTATTCATCTATCCTATCGCCTGTGATCGTGTGGTTAGAGCATGATTATTGAATAGTTAGGTCAACCATATACATTTTGCCAGATAACTTCGTAATTTACTGGACTGCCTCAATCATATTTATACTGAGTATTCTACACATTGTATATTACCATTAGAATAGCTCAAAGTTGATGTGATGGGCTTGGGAAAAAAAGATTATGCACTTTTATGTTCGGAGTTTTAATTGATCGCGTTATGTTAAGCCATTGCTACGTATAATGTACACTACGGTCTCGAATTGGCCTTTTAAAATACGTCAATTAATTAGTTTTAACTTGTATACACGTTTTATCAATGTATAATTGACATTATATAAATATAAAAACATCATTTCGCACCGTATTGTCATTGAATTGTGTTTCCGACATCCCTGCAAAACACGTTTGTGGCGTCCGCAGGCGTACCAACCCAGATCTATTACAAACCGAAACTTTTCCTGACGCAAATTCTATAAACCATATAGATTTTGCCTTATAGCTTCGTAATTCACTGGACTGCCGCAATCATACTCATACTGATTATTCTATACATTGTATATTAGCATTAGAATACCTCAAAGTTGATGTGATGGGCTTAGGAAAAAGATTGTGCACTTTTCCTGATGCGAGTTCCTATCAACCATATACTTTTTGCCATATAACTTCGTAATTTACTGGACTGCCGCAATCATACTCATACTGATTATTCTACACATTGTATGTTACCATTAGAATACCTCAAAGTTGATGTGATGGGCTCAGGAAAAAGATTGTGCACTTTTCCTGATGCGAGTTCCTATCAACCATATACATTTTGCCATATAACTTCGTAATTTACTGGACTGCCGCGATCATACTCATACTGATTATTCTACACATTGTATATTACCATTAGAATACCTCAAAGTTGATGTGATGGGCTTAGGAAAAAGATTGTGCACTTTTCCTGATGCGAGTTCCTATCAACCATATACATTTTGCCATATAACTTCGTAATTTACTGGACTGCCGCAATCATACTCATACTGATTATTCTACACATTGTACATTACCATTAGAATACCTCAAAGTTGATGTGATGGGCTTAGGAAAAAGCTTGTGCACTTTTCCTGATGCGAGTTCCTATCAACTATATACATTTTGCCATATGACTTCTTAATTTACTGGACTGCCGCAATCATACTCATACTGATTATTCTACACATTGTATATTACCATTAGAATACCTCAAAAATGATGTGATGGGCTTAGGAAAAAGATTGTGCACTTTTCCTGATGCGAGTTCCTATCAACCATATACATTTTGCCATATAACTTCGTAATTTACTGGACTGCCGCAATCATATTTACCCTGAGTATTCTACACATTGTATATTACCATTAGAATACCTCAAAATTGATGTGATGGGCTTAGGAAAAAGATTGTGCACTTTTCCTGATGCGAGTTCCTATCAACCATATACTTTTTGCCATATAACTTCGTAATTTACAGGACTGCCGCAATCATACTCATACTGATTATTCTACACATTGTATATTACCATTAGAATACCTCAAAGTTGATGTGATGGGCTTAGGAAAAAGATCGTGCACTTTTCCTGATGCGAGTTCCTATCAACCATATACACTTTGCCTTATAGCATCGTAAATCACTGGACTGCCTCAATCATATTTATACTGAGTATTCTACACATTGTATATTACCATTAGAATACCTCAAAGTTGATGTGATGGGCTCAGGAAAAAGATTGTGCACTTTTCCTGATGCGAGTTCCTATCAACCATATACATTTTGCCATATAACTTCTTAATTTACTGGACTGCCGCAATCATACTCATACTGATTATTCTACACATTGTATATTACCATTAGAATACCTCAAAGTTGATGTGATGGGCTCAGGAAAAAGATTGTGCACTTTTCCTGATGCGAGTTCCTATCAACCATATACATTTTGCCATATAACTTCGTAATTTACTGGACTGCCGCAATCATACTCATACTGATTATTCTACACATTGTATATTACCATTAGAATACATCAAAGTTGATGTGATGGGCTTACGAAAAAGATTGTGCACTTTTCCTGATGCGAGTTCCTATCAACTATATACTTTTTGCCATATAACTTCGTAATTTACTGGACTGCCGCAATCATATTTACCCTGAGTATTCTACACATTGTATATTACCATTAGAATACCTCAAAGTTGATGTGATGGGCTTAGGAAAAAGATTGTGCACTTTTCCTGATGCGAGTTCCTATCAACCATATACTTTTTGCCATATAACTTCGTAATTTACTGGACTGCCGCAATCATACTCATACTGATTATTCTACACATTGTATATTACCATTAGAATACCTCAAAGTTGATGTGATGGGCTTAGGAAAAAGATTGTGCACTTTTCCTGATGCGAGTTCCTATCAACCATATACACTTTGCCTTATAGCTTCGTAAATCACTGGACTGCCTCAATCATATTTATACTGAGTATTCTACACATTGTATATTACCATTAGAATACATCGAATTTGATGTGATGGGCTTAGGGTCAACATTGTGCACTTTTTCCTGATGCAAGTTCCTATCAACCATATACATTTTGCCATATAACTTCGTAATTTAGGGGACTGCCTCAATCATATTTATACTGAGTATTCTAGACATTGTATATTACCTTTATAATAGCTTAAAGGTGGTGTGATGGGCTTAGGAAAACGATTATGCACTTTTTTATGTTCGGAGTTTTAATTGATCGCGTTATGATAAGCCATAGCTACGTATAATGTACAGTACGGTCTCAAATATGCCTTTTAAAATACGCCAATTAATTAGTTTTAACGTGTATACACGTTTTATCAAGGTATAATTGACATTATATAAATGAAAAAACATCATTTCGCACCGTATTGTCATTGAATTGCGTTTCCGACATCCCTGCAAAACACGTTTGTGGCGCCCACAGGCGTACCAACCCACATCTATTACAAACCGAAAAAGCGCCGATGAAAAGAGCCGCTAACTTCACGACGGTTAAGTTAGTAGGTACAGTTGCCTAGCCTCTACTTAAGCTTAAGGTAGCTGTGACTCAAGTTACAGATTTCCTGTGACAGGCCTAAACAATTAACTTAATAAAAATATCAGTGAATGTATTCAACGGCTGCACTTTATTTTACGTCCTACACTCATTCGAATGAAAATATTGATTATTAGATTGTTTCATTCGATATATCGTTTGGTTAGTTAGGTTAGGTTAACCTTACCTAACTAACCAAATGATATAACTTATCTAATAATCGACATATCGATCGATATTTTCATTCGAATGAGTGTAGGACATAAAGTAAAGTGCAGCCCTTAAGTTTACGTCCTACACTCATTTGAATGAGTATTAAGTATTCGAGTAGGCCTATATTCGATATAAGTAGGCTATCAAGTTTGTATCATTTGTGTAACCTTAGAAATGGTAAGCGTGATAATACTGAGCCAAGAGATTTAACTTGGGTATTCCTACAGTTTCTTAACTGGGCTACGCTAACTTAAGTTAATATATTTTATTAAACTACAGTATTGAATTAAAAATATTGATTAATAATAGATATTTTAAAATATACCTATCTAAGTTTATTATAAAATTAAATTATCATAACCTAACTTAACCAACCAAACTTGCTGATGGTGAAAAAATCGCATGTAGGTTTACTAATCGAATCCATGGTGGAAGGAACGAATCGATAGTTTCAATAAAATTAGCGTAGCCCAGTTAAGAAACTGTACCCTTTAACTTATTCTACCATCAATACTGTTAATACTATTCAATGAAATGGCGACGATACATATTAGGTATTTTAAGCCAAGTATGAATGGAAATTTAGTAGTCTATAAAATAACTTACAATAGGCAACGTCACAAAACTTAAGTTAGGTTAATTTCACACAGTAGGCCTAAACAAGGCAGCAAACCATGCAGTTAACTTATGGCAAAAAAACATGTAGGCTACCTAAGAAAATGAAATTGTGACACATACCTGAGTACATGAATAAAATTACAAATTAGGCAAGTAGGCCTATGGGTCAACTTTTTTCATATTAGCCCACCATACTTACAATTGATTGTAATTGGCAAAGGCAAATATCCTTGTATTATGTTTCTTTCATAACCTAAAATCAAATGAAAATTCGGTTTGAAGGTGTAAGGCGGGATAAATCTGAATGAGTTCGCGAACTAGCATGATCGGGCCATGGGACCGGGTTTTAATGAGTTCTATGCAGAGAAGGGGCCTAGGCCAAAAAATGGGGTTTTCTCATTTTTTACCCTTAAAACACAAAATTTATCAATTATTCTCTAGACCTTTCTAAAGAAATTAAAAAAAAAATAATATGTTATCTATGTATCGTGTTGTGTATAGTGGAGTCGTGGATTAGTTGTCCGCTTAACTGTGTGTGTGTGTAAGTGTTCGCATAAAAAACTCAAGCTAACCGTTGCACCTATAGTGTTAAAAAATTGCACGAATCTTAATTATGACAACAATGGAAAGACACCATAAAATTTAGACAATTCCGTTCAGTAGTAATTATAAAACCCTCAAAATACATTTTTAAATCTGTCCCATAAGAATAACATTAGAAGCTACCTTCTTCTACTTTTTATTTGTTTATGTTTTGCGACCAACAAAAAGCTTGATTTATATTTTAAAGTATATATATATATATATAGGCTATATTTATTTTTATAAATCAAACTTGAAAGCTTTATTTTATACTAAGCTATTAATGTTTTAATAAAAAACACACTTTATTAGTTCCACCTGGGTAATGACACTTGGGTCCGAGAGAACCAGTGGCCTTCGAGTTTTTAAGTTTTTATCTACCAATCCAAATATTTGTACAAAGAAAATATGCCCTACCTTGAGCTATAGTTCTATATTCTGTTTTTACTTTTAACAAGAAGTAGGCCTGAATGATGTACACTGCCTATTTTTGTTCCAGGTAAATTTCCTTGTAAAGCTTGGAGAATTGCAAATGTTTGGTGTTAATGTATGAGAGTACTTCATATGTAAACAATATTGATGAAGTTGTCTGCTTATTTGGGGCCAAATAAGAAGGAGAGAAATTTTCTTGGAAAAGAATCGAAAGCAATAAAGATAAGTAAGTTTGGCTAAGTTATCAATATGATTAAAAAGCATTTTCAGTCCTTGTTTAACATTAACACGTTGACTGCTAACGCCGACTCTAGTCGGCGTCGCTAGCACTTCAATGTGGCGCGCGCCGACGAAGGTCGGCACCAGACCAACAGAAATATATTGAGTCAGTGTGAGCTTAGCCTCAGACGGAGACGTTATAATCGTTGCCAGCCTGCCAGCTTAGAATGCGAGCTTTACTTTGGTGTAGGTTGGTACTAAAATTTCCCGTAAAATCCTGTCTGGCAATGCTTTTGTCCCGGTTTCGGGGATTTTTTCTCTTCAACCCACATTACAAAGACACTGGATACGGATCCGTGCAGTGCTGCTACCTTTGGGTGTTTCAGTGAACTACATCCACTCTCGGGGTAACGCAGCACAGTCACCACTGCTCTTTTGTGATTCGTCAGACTGAAATATTTGAATGCCAATTGCGTTCGCTGATTCGGTTGCGTGCCGGGGCTTCGCCCGCCACTGGGAGCGCCTGTACGTTGTTTTCAGCAGTCATCGTGTTAACTTATGATGTGCTGTGGCGGTTAAGTTTTTATATTTGGAAAAAAATACACTTTAATCAACTTACAGCACTGTTCAAGTTTCAGAGTTACCTATGGTGACAGAATAATACAAGGCATGTTATTTAAGTAAGTACTGTTTTTAAATTTCTCCGTTTCAGTGCTGCGATTGGCATTTTGGACATTTGTGCTGTGTATGTGGATGTATTGGCAAGCCTGCGCTGGAAATTCGGCACAAATCGGCTGTGTTTACATCCGGTTTAGAGCATTCAAAACGGTGCCGCCAATTGAGACTGCCGTCGCCTGTGAAGTTTGCGCTGTACCGGTACCTAATTAGATTTTTAAGTGCTAAAGGTGTGAAAGCCATTTAAATTCATTGACAGATTAGTGAAGTGTATGGGGAGAAAATTATGAGTGGCGGAATTGTACCTACGTAGGTGGGTAAGGGCATTTAAAGATGGCCGCACCAACGTTCATGAGAAGCAACGCACAGGGTGGCCATCTATCAAATTGTCATGGTGATTTCCAGGATGTGAATCCGTTATCTTCGGAACCGGAGACTTACGCTGTACAACTACACCAGTCTAAATATGTGGAAAGATCAAGTTATTTGTTTATAGTTTATTGCCCCCACACAACTGGTAACAATAAAGTAGTTTCACATCTTTTTGTGGTAAAAAAATGTTAATACCAGCACAGAATTAAATTTGTTATTTTTCCCCAACACCCATTAAACCTTAGATACATCGATTGCTCATATGTAGGAGCTTGAACAAAAACGATCATACTAGTTTGATGAGACACCGTGCTTGTCAGATCATGTGAAATGAGAAAGGCTACTATCTTACTAATGTTATAAATGTGAAAGTTTGTGTGTTTGTTTGTTCGTTTGTGTGTTTGAAGTTCAATCACGTGTTAATTACTGGATGGATTGGGCTCAAATTTGGCATGATGATAGCTCACATTCACGATTAACATAGGTATAGGCATATTTTTATCTAAAAAATCCTTTTGGGCTCCGCCTTAGTGGCTCTAGAGTTTCCCATGTTAACCTTATGAGTACTCATATTTAAATGAAATTAAAGAATTTAGTCAGCTGTTTCAACTAAAAAGGTTGGTTCTATGATATGCAAAGGCATTAAGAGTTTATAAGATTTACCAACAGGATGCAGCACTATTATTTTTTTTTCATTTATGAAAACAGCTAATTTGAACTAAGCAGCAACAAAAAACTGTGATACACAATGAGAACTGTCTGTTTACAGTTATGTTTGTTTTTAATTTCACGAATAATTTGTGATATTTTGTGAATCTTTAATAATTAATTTTTAGCGAATTTCCCATATAGGGAATAAGCTATTACCGTAGTACTCATGGTAAGACCTGGACGCGGGACCGATTTTTTTTTCGTTTTGAGGTCCCTAGAGGCCAAAAACACCATCCGTTTAAATTCATATATATATATATATATATATATTTATATATTTATATATATATATATATGTGTCCGTTAGCACAATAACTCGAGCAAAAATGATCCGATTTTGATGAAATTTGGTACAAACGTGTAAACCTACGTTTATTCGAACGAGTTCGCGATCCAGCATGATCGGACCATGGGAACGGGGGTTTACGGGGGGTTTTATGGGGTAAAAATAGGTTTTTCCCATTTTTGATCCAAAAAACATAAAATTTAGCAATTTCTTTCCAAATCATTTTGTAGAGCTTAAAAAAACTAATAATTTTGTATATTCAAGCGTTATTATACGCCTAATGGTTACTGAGAAAATTCAAAAAAATTGTAAATTTTAAATTCCAATGTTATTCTTATGGAGAATAAGTAAACTGTTGTAGTTTGCTTGTTTATGAACATATTTTGATCAAATTTGGAAAATGTTTTTATTTCTTACTAGGCCTAACTATTAACATTTTACAAAAAAAAAACAGTTTTACCCTCCCTGATACAGCAAACCTAAGTACTTGTTAAACTAATTCTATTTAAATAGGGAATAAATGTTATATTTTTAAGTAGACATTTCAGTGTAAATCTAATCAGTCAAATGGAAATTTGCTTAGTCTGCAGGTTTGCTGCGGCGGGGGTATTTTCTTTTCTTAGGGTGAAGTGGTAGAACATTATGGCTATGGTAGATGTGTAATACTATAGTCATAGACAATAGAGTAAATATAGACTGTCAAAGAAAGGTTTTGCAATCTGCGCTAGAGCGTTTTTGCCGTTCGATATCAGTTATCGGTATCGTCGTCGTTGTCGACAACTCGCCAGCTGTTACCAGCACTACCACTCTTGCAAACGAAATGATTATTATTCGCTATTGTCGTCTTCTGCAATCGCGTCAAAATCATGAACATCTTCCGCGGCTGTGTAGACATCATCATTGAATGCCGTGGTCACGAAACGTCATCGTCATCCACAATTGCGGCAAAATTGTGAACATCTTCAGCGGCCGTACATACAATCGTCTTGCGCGATCGCAGAAAAGACGTGATCATTTTTCCCGTGGTCCGTGGTCACGAAAACGTCGTCTAGCACAGTCGCGGTGTAAGAACATCTCCCGCGGTCGTGTAGACACATCATCCATCGTCTTGCGCCGTCACGGAAACGTGATCGTTGTCTAGCACGATTGAAGTAAAATCATGCAATTTACCGACTTTGATATCAAAATAAAGACTAAATCCAAACTTTTCAAGACCATTTTGAAATTCAATACTAATACCTGACGTTTTCCCTGACTACTAGACATCCTGGTTAAATTTTATTTTGACCTTGCAAATATAAAACAAAACCTTCCAATAAACCACTTCCTAAAATTATGGATTAATAAAGAAAAACTTTGAATCATTGTAATGAAACTACAAAAGTATAACAAATATATGTTTAAAAAAAATACAATAAAAGATGGCATTTAAATTAATTTACTGCTTAATATTAGCCTAAATAAGTCAGTAAACTCCAATTCCGGGGGATTCCTCCAAAGTTGGCAACACTACTCCCAACTACCAAGTTGTTATGGAAACGGTCGCTAGCACTTGATGCTGCAGCGGCGTGCGCCGTAACTACACATTACCCCTGGTGGTCGGCGCCGGAATATACGCTAACCGCAGCACAGCTGGCCACTCTACTCCTGCCCAGTATGGTCAGACCAACTAGCATATGAATTTATGAAGCCGTACTTGGGCTACCGCTGTATGGTTTCATCATGACATGTATTTCAATCATTCACTGGGTTATAATTTGTATGTATTTGAATGGATACATTTAATACTTAATTGATAAAAGACTATGAAAACCGTTTAGTGCTCTATGATGTTCTATAATGCTATGGTGGACACAAGAGCGTAATCTGATTTGGTTCTGCAGTACTTTACTTTACTTTAATTTTAGTAGTAGCCTGCTGTTAGCAGGTTTGTGCTGTGCTGGGCAAGTGTGTGCAATATCCATGGAAAAATTATGTTGAATCCTCTCACCTTGTGCAAGGATCCTTTAAGTCAATCTCAATTTCTCTTGCAGCAAAGTCCAGGACAAATTAACCACCAAGCTAACAAGACACCCCTTTCTCTATTTAGTTCTGATAACAATTTTGAGTTATTGTTTATTTGTTTCAGGATATCATGACAGAAGAATGCAGAAGGGTTGCTCAGCTCTTAACTTCGCCTTATAATCTTTATTTATTTCAATTGTGTTGTAAGAAGTATTTTTTAAACAGTAAAACTTTCTCCAATTTATAGACTACCTATTATGATTCATTGTTGTGTTTTATTAAGGTCCCTACCCTTATCTAAAAAATATTTTATAAACCAAAATGTTTAATGCTGTTCGCCTATTATTCTTGATGAAACATTAAAATACACTCCATTATTGAGCCTAATCATATTGATTTTCTACTTTAAAAAAAGTAAGTAACACAACCAAGACCAGTCCTTAAATAAAAGTACTTCATAATTATCCCAGTAAGACATAATGGATTTCCAAATTCCTCCCTAGGAGTTAATCTGCATCCGGACAACCAAATTTTTAAGATTATTATATTTAAAGAATAGGCTTGCTAATACAAATATTATGTTCATTTATAACTTTTATCTCATTATCTATACATAAAATTGATTAAAATATGTGAATGCGACTATTATTACTGGAGGGGAGGGGGCGCCACAACCACGTTTGCTCCGGGCGCTGCCAACCCTAGGGATAGCCCTGATATTTACCTTAGGCCCCATTTATGCTCAAGTTTGGTTTGCAACTAAGGCTTGGTGTGTCGCCCAAAACAAGCGACAAGCAAAATTTAAATTTCTTTCTTTTGTACCGAATGGTGGGGAAAGCTTCTAGCCAAGGGTCTGTCTCAGTGACCAGTGTGTCTCCAACCTTCCTATGCGTGGGGTGAGTTGTTAAGTTGAGTCATGCAAATCAATCCGTAGTTTGCAGTGTTAGTTGGCAAAAATTTAATTTTCAACAAACCCTAAAGCCACAGCCGCATGGATATAATTGCCAGGGATATAATTTGTTTGGAATTAAATTAAGTTAGGAAAAACTCATTTCATCCTCACCAACTTATGTATTATAATGTTATATTAACATATCAACATATGTTAAATGTATCATATGTTAGTTGAAGACTTGAAGGTAAACAATATCAGTCAGGTTTATGTTTCAGTCTTGAGTTGAATTGTAAATAAACTTCTGAACTTTAAATGTTAAAGCTTCTAATTTTATTTATATTTTCTAACTAAAACATGGTGTCAGGTGTATTTTGAAACCTAGAAGAAATAATGGAAGTATCTGGATTGTTTAGGTTGCCTGAACCTATGAGTTTTGAAGGAAATGTGAGTGAAAATTGGAAAAGATTTCGTCAGAAGTTTGAACTGTACTTAATAGCTACTAGTCATGGTAAGAAACTTAAGGATGAAATTAAGATTGCGCAGCTGCTTAATCTGTTAGGCGATGATGGCCTAGATGTATATAATACTTTTAAATTTGAAGATAATGACAAAGATAGTTTTGATTGCGTACTTGATAAGTTTGAATCTTACTGTTGTCCTCTGAAAAATGTCATATTTGAGCGGTTTAAATTCTATAGAATGAAGCAGGAAGAAGGTCAAGACTTCAGTAAGTTTGTTATGCAGTTAAAAATAGCAGCTAAATCATGCAAGTTTCTTGAACCTGACAATATGATTAGAGATAGAATTGTCTTAGGTATAAGAGATAAAAGTACTCAAGAGCGTCTATTAAGAGATACAAAACTTGACTTGAAGAAAGCTATTGATTTCTGTATGATTGTAGAGAGTAGCAAGGATCAATGTAGGACTATTGTAGAGCACAATGAAACCAAGCTTTCGGGGACTAAGTCGGATCCATACAGTGTATGTGTTGTCAATAATGTACCAAATCAAGAACTTTCGCGGAGTATTGCAAAAGAAAAACAGAATGATCTGTGTAGCTTTTGCGGCTACAAAGATGTTCGGGGTAAATGTCCTGCATATGGCAAAACATGCTCGAAATGTGATGGTAAAAATCATTTTGCAAAGGTCTGTAGGAGTAAAACTATAAAATCTCATGCTGTTACAAACAAGGAACAACACGATGAAGACTCTTGTGTGAGCGATGTTAGTTTAGGCTCGGTAAGCTTAAACATTAGTGGAGTGAAAGGTCAAAGTGAAAAATCGTGGACGGAAAACTTGACTGTTGGTGGTACACAAGTTAGATTTAAACTAGATACAGGTGCAGAGATCAGTATTTTACCTGCTAGTTATGTACGGAAAATGAACATTACACACGTAAAACGTAGTTCTTGTGTACTCTCAGCCTGGGGAGATGAAAAATTCAAAATCAAACCACTAGGTCTTGTGATGTTACAATGTAAAACAATTACAGGTGTAACTGCAGATGTGAATTTTGCTGTAGTGAATGTCGAACATGAACTGCCAATTTTAGGACTGAACGATTGTGTCAATTTAGAGAGTGTCATCAATATGTTTGAATTTTAAGGATAAGGATGATGTTTTAACCGGCTACAAGACAGCTTTTGAAGGATTGGGACAGTTTCCAAGCACTCATCATATTCAGCTTAAGGAGGGTGCTATCCCACAAATTCGACAATCACGGAGAGTACCTTACAGTTTACAGGAAAAACTAGAGGAAAAGTTGGACCAACTTGAGGAAACTGGGGTGATTCGAAAAGTTGACAAACCTACAGCATGGGTCAATCCTCTGGTGATCGTGGAAAAACCCGATAAGTCTTTGAGAATCTGCATAGATCCGATGCCATTGAACAAGGTGGTAATGAGAGAGCACTTTCTAATGCCACACCCTGATGATATTCTGGTAACATTGAGTGGTTACAAATATTTTACTGTTTTGGATCTTAAGGATGGGTTTTTTCAAATTGTTTTAGATGAGGAGAGTCGTGAACTGTGCACAGTCAGTACCCCATTTGGGAGATATCAATTTTGTAGATTTCCTTTTGGAATCTGTTCGGGTCCAGAATTGTGCCAGAAAAATAACTACAAATGCTTTGGAAACCTGAAGGGAGTTAACATAGTACATGATGATATTATTGTAGGAGGAACGACATCGGAAGAGCATGACGAAAATTTAAAGAGAGTTTTGGACACAGCCCTTAAACTTGGAATCAAGTTTAATCCAAACAAGATGCAATTTAAGAAGAGCGAAGTTAAGTATCTGGGACACATAGTATCGGCTGCAGGAATCCAACCCGACCCAGATTATGTAAAGGCCATAGTTGAAATGGACCCACCCACGGACAAGAAAGGGGTAATGCGGTTATTGGGCATGCTAAAGTATTTATCGAGGTTCATACCGAATTTAGCAAAAATCACTGCACCCCTCAGATATTTGACAAGAAAGGATGTGGACTTCTTATGGACCGTAGAGCATGAAGATGCTCTGAAGATTATCAAGACATTAATTTCCAGTGAACCAGTTTTGGTATACTTTGACTCTCGAAGACCTCTTGAAATACAAACAGACGCTTCTCAAGATGGCCTAGGATGTTGTTTGTTGCAGAGTGGGCAGCCAGTGGCTTTCATGTCCCGTTCAATGACTGATACAGAGAAGAGATATTCGCAAATTGAAAAGGAAACTCTAGCTATAGTTTTTGCTGTTGAGAAGTTTCACAGGTTTATTTATGGCTATAAAGTAACAGTTCAGACTGACCACAAGCCGCTTGTAAATATTTTTCAACAAGATTTGCACGTGGTACCAGGTCGGCTACAGAAAATGAGACTAAGGTGTTTGAATTATGATCTGGAAGTAAAGTACTTACCTGGTAGTAGCCAACTTATTGCTGATACGTTGTCAAGAGCAGCATTAAAATGCACAGGAATGACAGTGTCTTCAGAATTTCAAGTACACAGTTTAACAAGTTCATTGCCTATGACTGAAGAGAAGAAGAAATTATTCCAGCGTTACACTGAAGAGGACCAAGAAACTGCTATCGTGAAGAGATACTGCAAAGAAGTTTGGCCAGAAAGGAAGCAAGACACCCCAGAGATAGTACGCCACTATTGGAACCAAAGACATATGGTATCTGAAGAAGATGGTTTATTGTTTTTAAATCACAAACTGATTGTGCCACGACAGCTACGACAGGACATGCTTCAGCGAATCCATATCGCGCATGGAGGAATTGAAAAGTGCAAAGCTAGGGCTCGACAGATACTTTATTGGCCACGAATGGCTACAGACATTGAAAGTTTTGTGGCTCGTTGCAGGATATGTGAAAGGTTTTCCAGGAGTAATGCAAAGGAAACCCTTATGCCGTATCCTATACCTACTAGACCATGGGAGCGTATCGGATGTGACATATTTTCATATGGAGGAAATGTGTACTTGGTCATGATGGATGCTTACTCAAACTGGTTGGAGCTGGTTAAAATGCCATGTAAATCAGCAACGTCTGTAATATCAGCATGCAAAGACATCTTCAGTAGATTTGGCCCTCCTGATATAATGGTAGCGGATAATGTCCCTTACAACAGTGCCCAAATGAGGGAATTTGCCCGTGAATGGAATTTTGAAATTGTGACACGCAGTCCAGGCTATGCACAATCCAATGGGCTTGCTGAAAGGGCAGTTGGAATAGCCAAAGAGTTGATAAGGAAAGTACAGTATGACAATAAGGATTTGAAAATGGCTTTATTGGAGCTTAGGAACATGCCCGTTAAGCATCTGGGATATTCTCCAGCTCAGCTGATGTTTCAACGCAGGTGTAAGACAACAATCCCTGAGGAACTGCTGAAACCAACGCTGAATGATGGAGTACAAGACAGGTTAAATACAAGACAACAGCTGCAGAAAAAATACTATGATCGGTCAGCCAAGGACTTAAGGGTTGTAAGAAATAACGAAAGAGTTGTCTTCAGAAATGAAGGAAGGTGGGAGCAGGGAAAGATTGTTAATCAAGGACCAACTCCAAGAAGTTACTGGGTAGAAGGTGATAACGGAGCTACATTAAGAAGAAATCGCCGCCATCTGAAACCATCACTCACTCAACAAAACAATTCCCAGTCAGTTCCAAGGCAAGACGAGCCAGTACAACTAAGACCGCGTAGAGAAATCAAGCTACCATCAAGATTTCAGAATACAATATAATGGTCTCAAAAGAAGGGAGAAGTTTGGTTGGTTATTGTTTTTAGTTAATTCTTTCAAATTTGTTTGCTGTTTTTTTAAAGGGGAAAGATGTATTATAATGTTATATTAACATATCAACAT